GTGCTGGGGAGCGCTGGGATAGCCGCGACACAGCCTGTCTGCGTGTGCTCCTCGTTGCACGTGCTGCTGGCGTGTGGCTGCTCTAACGGCGCCTTTTGCGCCGCGTGCTGGGAGTTTGGGCCCGGCGTTGCGAGCGGGAGCGGTCTCGCACCCGCACGGGCCCGGTGGATCTTGAGGCGCTGCCTCTTTGTCGTGCTCTGGAGCCACGGGATGATGCTGACGGCCGCTGCCTTGTGATGCTGCGGCTGTGGCTCGCACGTGCTGGTGAGCCCTGGGACAGCCTGGGCGCAGCCTGTCTGCGGGGGCTCCTCCCAGCTCGTGCTGCTGGTGTGCGGCTGCCCTGGGAGCGTCTTCTGGGCCGTGCATAGGGAGCTTGGGCCCGACGCTGCACGCGGGAGCGGTCTCGCACCCGCATGGGCCCACCGCGTCTGTTGCTCCTGCTTCGTTGCAGCGGTGCAGAGCCACGGGATGCCGCTGATGGCTGCTCTCTGGTGGCGCTGCACCTGCGGGTCTCACGTGATGCGCAGCGTTGGGACAACCTTGGCACCGCCTGGCTGCGGGTATTGATCACAGAGCGTGTTGCTGGCAGTCGGCTTCTCTCCTGTAGTCTTCTAAGCCACGTGTAGGGTGTCTGGGTCTGACGGGTGTACCGGGTTTGGTGTTGCCGTCGGTCAGGCCCAGGGTGGCTGGAGCGGCCGCTGCCCTCACACACTGGGCAACTGTGGCATGGTGCTGATGGCATCTGTCTGCTGCTGCTGGGGCTGCTGGACTCCTGTGCCTGAGGTTCCAGAGTCTGCCCTGGTGCTGCCTGACTGCTGGGGCTGGGGCTGCTGAACTCCAGTTCCAGAGATCCAGGAGTCTGCCCCGGTGCTTCCTGGCTGCTGGGGCTGGGGCTGCTGAACTCCAGTTCCAGAGATCCAGGAGACTGGCCCGATGCTGCTGGGCTGGCAGTGCTGGCACCAGCAAGCTGTAAGCTGGCACTGGAGGCTACAAGGGAAAGCAGGAACATCAAGGGCTTGGCTCCCAGGCCTGGGGCAGGGTAGGCCAGAGCGCTGCCCCAGCCCTCCTGGAGCAGACAGGCTCTGCCAAGCCCACACCAGGCACCCGCTGCTGGGCCTTGCCTGGCCCCTGGCCCCAGCCCCGGAGCACCCGGGTGCTTTGACACTTACAGCTGCTCGGGCCAGCACAGCCGTCACACTCCCATGTGGCCTCATGGCTGTTCCCCAGGTTGGAGCAGCGTCTGTGAGTGCCCACAGCAGCGCAGGAGTGGCACAGGAAGAGCTGCCAGGGCCTGGGGAAAGAAATGGGTTCATGTCTCTAAGGAGAAAGTGCCCACAGCACGGGATTGTCCAGCAGAGCTCTTGTTCTCAGCCCTTCTGCTTCGAGGCCTTGCTGAGGCAGAGGTCCCGTGCCGAGCCCCGGGGTGCATCTTTGGCAACTTACCCGTCTGGCTCTTCTTCCTCCCTTCCTCCTGGACAAAGGCACTCCCTGGCATCGCAGCTCCTGTGCCTCTGGTACAGTTCTGCGTATGCACTGTTGTCTTCCCATGCCGCTTGTCTGATGGAGAAAGGAAAATCGATGAGCCCCTGCTGCCCCAACATAAGGCATATGCAGGGCCTCCCCGCTCTTCCCCCCAGACCCTGTTTCCAACTCCGGCATGGAGCTAAAGCCTAGACTTGGGGGTCAGCAGAGGGCCACAACTGCGGGGGCAGGTCCAGGCGTGGCACAGTGCTGGCCAGGAGGACACCAACCTTATGGGGATTTGGATCCCCATGAGGAGCATTTCTGTTAGAAACAGTTTCGTATTTTGACACAGAGGGCAGCGCAAGCAAAAAGCGCCAGCCCTCATAGCCTGTCCCTGCAGGAGAAACAGAAAGAGCGTGAGTGAGGCCCTGGTGCTGCTGAGAGCCTGCCGTGCCCGGAGCAAGGGAACGACTGCTACCTGGATGCACGCCCTGTGGAACCAGGCATGTTTGCATGCTGGGCACACCATGGTCCCATAGGTCGTTCTGCCTTCAACAGGGTCCCTGCAGATGAGGCAGTTGGTGTCCTCTGGAGCCGCCAGCTCTTGCTGTTGTGGGCGGTGCTCCCAGCAGAAGGAACTAGGGGAAGAGGGAAGGCATGGGTGAGATGAGAAGCGCTGGGTCCTTCCCTGGCGATGGGGAGAAGGGTAGAGGGGGTACCTGAACGGCAGGAAGTAACGGGTGATGCATCCACCCTCCACGGCACAGGGGAGATGGAACCTGCGGTCGCAGCCCATCTCCAGGCAGGTGACGGTGGCCCCCCTCTCGCCACACACAAAGCAGACCTGGAAAGAGCAGGGCAGCCCCCATCAGCGGCAGCCTCAGGGTCTCCACAGCCAGACCCACACCTTGGGGCAGGGGGCGGGATGTGGCCCCAGCTGGATCACAGGCCACAGATCCACCTGGCAGAGCAGGCTTCTGTGCTGGAGCCTCTGTGGAGCTGCTGGGAGCAAGACTTCTGTCCCAGAGCTGGGTGGAAAATCTGGGATTCTGTTCTTGGCATCTGCGCTAAACTCCCGCAAACCTCTCCTGGCACGAGTCACCCTGATCATCTCAGATCCTCACCATCTGGGCTGCCTGATAGACTGTCAGTAGAATATCCATAAGAGAAAATCCGATCTCTTCTTCCTCTTCGGTCCCTTGGGGATGAAGGTCACTGGCAAAAAGCTGCAGAAGAGCAGAGACAAGGAGCAGATGAGGGGCATGTGGCAGGGCAGGTGCATTGCAAAGATAAAACCAGCCCCAGAGGAACTCACCAGGCAAAAGCGATGGGCACAGCCCCATTCATAATTCCATTTTGGCCCGCAGATGTCCGGGGCTGCCTCTGCGCGGCGACACAGCACGCATGCTGGAGGGGAGAGAGCAAATGCCACGGAGAATGAGCACCTCTGTGGGGCCAGGGATGCATCCCTGAGGGATTGCCCCCAAGGGCTGCTCTGTCCCTGCCTAGCTGGCTGCTGAGCAGGGCTGGAAGCCTTGGAGAGGAAAGATCATTGCAGGCATGGGTGTCCCGGAGGGTGCGCACTGCCCAGCCCTGGTCCCGCTTGCCAAGCAGAGGAGCGGCCCTCCCGCAGGGTGGCTTTGGAGCTCCTGCCTCCCCCTGCCAACGCTCCCGGTGCATGCCCAGAGCCTCAGGAGTCCCTCTGCCAGGCTGTAGGAGGGGGACTTTGCTCTCACCCTGCTCCATCGAGTCGGGTGTCCTAGACCTCCTTGCGGAGGTGTCAGACATCAAAGGTGGGCGTTTGGAGAGTCCCTGTCCCAGCAGCGCTGGGGCTGCTTCTCCAAATGCTCCTCTGCTACCTGTGAGGGAGAAGAGAGACGCGGGTGAGCTTGCAGCACAGGCCCAGAGCCCTGCGGTGTGGAGCCCCCTCCTTCCTCGGCAGGCCCCCGAGAGCCCTGTCCCTGCCCTCTACTCCCCGCACCTCAGCAGGTCGCAGCGATGCACTGTGCCCGGCGTTCCCTTTCTTATAGGCCTGCCCCCGCCACCAGTCACAGTGGCCTCTGTGACATCAGCACCGCTGGCCCGCGTGCGCCCCAAGTATGGGCAGGGGCACCCTCGGCCACACACCACCCACTGTGACACGGACACTGCATCGCAGGGCTGGCTGTGAAGCGCACAGGCAGGGACCCGAGCCCTTGGCACCGAGGTCAGCGGGGCGGCTGCTCCACCTGCAAGTGCAGAGTCAAGGGCCGGCTTAGGGACATGGTTTCCTGGTGAACTTGGCGGTGTTTGCTTAACGGTTGGACTGGACGGCCTTTACGGCCTTCTCCAACCTGAATGATTCCTGTGACTCTCTTTACCATTTCACTATTACTTTATCACCGTTTGCTTACGCTATGATTTTCCTTCAGTCGTTGATTCCTTCCCGTTTGATCATCGCTTCATCGTGAAGAAAGCCCTTTTAATTAACCCACCAAGGATGACTTCCCTGAATAATTCACCTGCGACACCAGGACAAACACCAGACCGTGCCTGGAGCACAACCCGAGTAGAAGGAAAGGAATGATGGAATAGTTTGGGTTGGATGGACCTTCAGAGGTCCACTTAGGGGCTGGTGTATTGTTTAGCCGTAAAAATAGAGAAGCCGCTGTTGGTTGTGGCAGTCATCAGGGCTCCATTAAACTCGTGCGGTGAGCGCAGCTAAAAGAGGTAGCTAACAGGTGATGAGTAGTTTCTCTGCTTTCCTTTGAGATCTCCTGGGAACTTCTAGGGCTGCTGGAGAGCTGGGAACTCTTCAAGGGTTTTCAGGGTGCTGGCTGCAGCTGGGAAGGGATAACTACAGGAGGCCTGTGTTCCAAGTCAAATTAGGATACCTTGCAATCCTTGGATTACAAGTACAACCCAGATCTCAAATCTGAAATTAATTTGGACCTGCCTGACAGCTTTTACTGTTAAATTTTTAACAGAGATTACCGTGTCCCTTACTCTTGTTGGGTTTAGGGGTTGTTTGTGTCTTTTGAAGCTTCGCTGCAGGTCACTGTTTTATGACTTTGCAAGTTTTGGTGTATTTTTTCATCAGATGGTGGTGGGGAATAGTCCAGGAATCTCTTAAGAAGAAAAGCACATTTAAAAGAAAAAAACCACCACAGACTCCTCAACAGAACGTGCCAAGGGCAGGTAACGAGCTCAGATAGCTTAACAGTACTGAAGCAGAGTTAGAACCATTGGGAAGAGTAACTTTCGTGCCTTTGTTGTGTATACTGACACGGGACGACTGAGTTTTGTACTGAGGAGGAGTACTGATTTAGTTTGTGCCCAGAGAAAATACCTTCATGGCACACTTCATCAAGCATATCAGAAGAGGAGAGATTGGGTTCAGATTTGGGAATATTGTAAGCTTTTATATAAAACACTTTGTAACAATGGGAATAGTGTTGGCGTAGAAACAGCCAACAGATCTGAAAGCTGAAGCATTCACAAAAAATTCACAAGTTCTGTTTGTGCTAAGGGATACCTCTAAAATCCCCAGCATTTTCAACTATCTTAAACACGACATTGTCATAGAAAAGAGGGAAATATCACATTGTCAATACCGTACTTTAAAACCAAAGGTTTTAAATATACACCTGGACGTTTAATCTGCGTCCTAACCGAGATTGCTCTGATCCGCATAGATTGAAACAGAAGATGCAGGAACTCTGGGCCTGCCTTAGCCAAAAGGTTAAGTGTAACAATTTACAATCATATAAAAATCATCCTACCGCTGAATTCCAGTATGCTGGCTTTTTTTTTTTTTTTTTTACTTCAATCTCTGAAAAGACTCAAATCAATTTCACATTTATATGGGATCACCATCTATTTAACTTTTCCGTGGGTCCTAAAAATGTACAAGACGTTTATTTTATAGAATCATAGAATGGTTAGGGTTGGAAAGGACCTTAAGATCATCCGGTTCCAAGCCCTCTGCCATGGGCAGGGACATCTCGCAGTAAACCAGGTCACCAAAGACTCCATCCAGCCCGGCCTCGAGCACCGCCAGGGATGGAGCGTTCACTACTTCCTTGGGCAACCCGTTCCATCTAAAGCAGCTTTACGAAAAGTAAAACCATGGGATCATTTAATTTGGCCTGGTTTTCCTAAAATATTTTCCAAATAACAGAGGAGCCCCTAACTATACACAGGAAGATGCTTAACTGGCTGCATACTCTCTTGCTCCGCTTTTAACTACTGAGGAACAAGAATAAGCCTCGAGAGTTCTGTTACTGCTTCTTCTCCAGTTTACACTGTATCGCACTTTCAGGTGCTGCAGGAGCAGCAATTTTAGAGTGCACCATCATGTAGGAGAACAAAATAAATTACTATGTCACTAACGTGTTTTCGCTAAACCGAGTCAAAATAACAATGAAACAGGCAGTTTGGGCCTTGGGCGTGCTCTGTTTTGTCCAGGTTCTCATCTCAGAGGAGGGTATACATCCCTTTAACAGAGAGATGTCTCTAGCAAAAAGATGGTGCCAGAGCAAAACAGCTCTGGCTCATACAGCTGCTCGGCAATTCTGTTTCTTGTCAGGAATGACATTCTTTCTAGTCACTAATGAAATGTGAACCCAGTCACGGTAAGCGAAATTTGCCCGGGCTTCAGAGTCAATGAAACGTTATTTCTCTCGTGACTCTTCAGAGCGTGAAAATGCTTCCTTTCTCGAAAAGCTGCTGCAGATGTCCATCTGTGTTTTCTGCAAGACAGTCTTATCTGAGAACAAGGAACGGTTTTATAAATACTTATGAGCACTGCTGCCTTGAACTGAATCCTGTTTGCGCGCCCCAGGACCGCAGCAGGGGCGGGTACAGCGAAAGGGCGCTGGGGAAGCGGCTCCCCCGGCGCCGGCCCTGCCGGTACCTGCCGCGGCTGAGCGGCGGCCAGCTGTCGGAGCTGCGGTCGCGGCTGCGGGCGGTGAAGCACACGGTGCTGGTGCTCTCGGGGAAGGGCGGCGTGGGCAAGAGCACCTTCAGCGCGCTCCTGGCTCACGGGCTGGCGGCGGACGAGGCCAAGCAGGTGCGCGGGGCGGGCGGCACGGCGTAGGGCTGCGGCGGCCGCCCTCCGCTCGGATCTGCGGACCCGCTGTGGGTGCGCCGGAGCGTTCCAGGCGGCTGCCAGCGGGGGGCTGGGCTGTGTTCCAGGTTGCTCTGCTGGACCTCGATATCTGCGGGCCATCCATCCCGAAAATGATGGGTCTGGAAGGAGAACAGGCAAGCGAACGCTCAAACGTGTTGATTAAAGGATGTCTGCCCAATTTGTCATTAACGTTTTAGGGTCTTGTAGGGTTTAGTGGAACTTCTAAAAGGACAGTTTATTGGGAAATGGATGTGGCAGTGGGCAAGGAAGTCCCGGCAAGATGGACAAGTTCAGAGTGATGTAGTCTGTAAAAGAGTTGTCTCCTTTCAGGATGACCAGCTCTGCAAGCCAGCTTTTGCTGGATATTGGCCGCATGTTCATGGCTACATAGAACTTAAGTGATGTCAGCATGATCAGCCCTAAAATATTTTATATCAATCTGTAAAGTCGTGGGTAAACTTGCAGCTGGGTTGAACAGTTGTTATTCACTTGCTAATGGAGATCTGGTTCTCCTGCAGCTCTTAGCTCAGGCGCTGCAGCGCAAGCATCACCGCACCTATTGGCAGGGCAGCGCTTTATGTGTTTTGTGTGACATCTGTATTCATTTGCAGCATCACTTGATGGCTCTTGTCTGTTTTCAGGTTCATCAGAGTGGGTCTGGCTGGTCTCCAGTGGTGAGTTGGGGCAACCCTTGCAGAGAGGCCGTTGGGTTTGTTTGGGTTGGGCACGGCCTGCCAGGGGGGAAACTAATGGGGCGGGGTTAAATGGGGTGCTGCTGTTGGTTCTTTTTGTAATGACATAAATTCCCAGACCCTATAGAACTTATGGGCTTTATATAAAAATCAATGTTTAATTTCTTAATAATACCGTCTTTCTTGAATAGTTTATGAATTTAAGTATGTCTTGTTTACTGAATTTCTTACTATACTCTTGACTACTGGGCGTATGCTGTTAAACACCACTGTAAGTCTTACCACGACTGGATTTTTTCAGTCTGTGAATGTAGCTGGTCAGCATTTTGCAAAAGGTGTAGTTTCTAGTGCCCTTTGATCAGACTTATGTAGGTTTTCTGCCATTGTTGTCTTCATGGCTCCCCTCCCCACCTGCTTTTTCTACAAGGTCTGATTTCAGAGTTTGTTTCCCTAGTCTGTCTTTGCTGTTCTGCATGTTCTAACTGAGTGTCTCTACTTCTCATAAGTATGTTGAAGAAAACTTAGGTGTCATGTCTGTGGGGTTCTTGCTTAGTAGTCCTGATGATGCTGTCATTTGGAGAGGACCCAAAAAGAATGGTATGTATCAAGTGTTTTTAATGGTAATTTATGTACTTGAAAGATTTCATGTCATAAGCACATTTAATTAAGAACTGAAATAGTATGGTAAGCTGTAGGAACAATGAGTGAATGGTTACTTATTTTCTTTAGTTGAACATTCATTTGATGAAAGTCAAGTGCTGTGTTTTTGTAAGTTATAGAATCACAGATCATTTTGGGTTGGAAAATACCTTAAAGCTCATCCACTTCCAACTGTATCCATCCTGTCCATGGACAGGCATTCCTTCTACTAGACCAAGTTTCTCCAAGCCCCATCCAACCTGGCCTTGAACACTGCCTGGGATTGGGCAGCCAGAGCTTCTCTGGGCTCCCTGTGCCAGTGCCTCACCACCCTCCCAGGCTCATCTCAATCTCCCCTCTGTCAGGTTAAAGCCATTCCCCTTTTTCTGTCACTACAGGCTTGTCAGAAGCCTTAGGAAAATAAGCGTTCCTGTAGTTAAGTTGACAAGTCAGCAGAATCTGCAGACTAAGACTGTAAAAGTTGAAAGACTCTAATTTTAACTATGTGGAGATTTTTTTCCTCTTCCACATTTTTTATCCTTTCTTTTAGGTTTGATCAAACAGTTTCTTCGTGATGTGGACTGGGGTGAAGTGGACTACCTGATTGTAGATACACCTCCAGGAACATCAGATGAACATCTGTCTGTTGTGCAGTACCTCAGTGCAACGCACGTCGATGGGGCTGTTATAATCACTACCCCTCAGGTAGGAGAACTTGGTTTCTGTTGGTGAAAGCCTTGTGGCAGTTACAGCTGATTCTTGGGTTAGAGACAGACTGCAAAGAAATGACAGTCCAGAACCAAAGTGAGTTGTTATTCCTGGTTTGTCCTACAGCTGGCTGGTTTGTGAGATATGGGTGTTTTGGGAGAGAGGGGGGATCTGAGCAGGTCACTAAATCACTAGGCAGTTCACAGTCAAAAGCTGTTGGGTTGTGCATGGAGAAAAGGCAGGATTTTGCTTCATTCTTTGAGCAAGATCATAGTTCACATCGTCAATCTGTAATCTGCTCAACAATGGCCTAGTGCTCAGGAATCAGGGAGAAGTATAGTTTTTAAGTGGTAAGATGTGCATTGTTTTACACCACGTGAAGCCTGTTGCTTCCAGTAGGCAACATTATGATGTGCATTTTTAAAGAAGAAAAGTCAGTACCTGGAGAGCTAAAAGTCAGCAAACATGTTGTAGTGCTTGGCTTGGCAAGGAAGGGGAGATCTAAGTAGCAAAAGACATGTAGCATTTCCACAACAGGTGAAAGAATAAAATGTGAAGGAAGTGAAGTGGTGAAGGCAATACTGGATGGGTGGCGAGGGAAGAAGAGGGGAGCAGGAGAATTGAAAGAGGTCATACATATATCTGAAAAGTCTGAGGGGATGGTGAACTGTTTCCAATTGAATTTGGTGGTTCTTGTCCTTGCCTGCTCTACTGAGAATCCCAGGGGTCTTCCTGTAAACTGAAAATGTGAGAAGTTACCTTTCAAGAGCTAAAGATATGAGATTAATACAGGAGATGAACGTGGCTGAATCTCTGCTAGAGTCCAGTCAGATTTCAAAACAGAACCACATTCAGTGGGCTAGAACTGCTGAACCTGTTCTACTGCTATGTTTAGAATTGTTGCTGGAGCACTTAAGAGGTTCATGGTCTTCAAAATACAAAGAGAACCGTAATAATTCATCATAAACTTCCCTTAAAAATGCTCTAAGTGGGTTCAGCATCCAAATGTTACAGTCACAATAGCAGAGTTTCCCAATGGTTGCAGGAAGTAGCACTTCAGGATGTTCGGAAGGAGATCAACTTCTGCCATAAAGTGAAACTGCCAGTCATAGGTGTTGTGGAAAATATGAGTGGCTTTGTATGTCCAAAGTGTAAGGTAAGGCTGCCTGCGTGCTGCAAAGAGTTTTACCATGGCCCCAAACCCACCTTGCTCTCAAAAATTGCAGTATTTAACTCTGATTTTCATGTTGTCCCAGAAAGAATCTCAGATCTTTCTGCCGACTACTGGAGGTGCAGAGAAGATGTGTCAGAATTTAAGTGTTTCACTCCTGGGTAAAGTGCCTCTAGATCCTCAAATAGGTAAAGCTACTGTAGTGCACTATGCTTAAAACAAGCTTTTTCTCCTATACTGACATTGTTACTGGAAAACCCTGGCTTGGACACTCATAAATTAGAATATGAAATATTTTGCCTTAGGTAAATATTCCCTTTTAGCTAGGACATTTTTTTTTTTTCAGTCAGAAGTTCCTGGAACTGCAGCAGAGTGTGGTGTGAAAGGGGAAAGTGCTCTGATAACTCCCTTAGCCTGAAACATAATCTTGTTTAAGATTAGATTATGCATCTTTTCAGCTGCATAATCATATCTGAAGAACAACATGTCTTTGTCTTTGGTTTCATCACCTGGAAGTGCAGACTGAAAAAATTGACACCACTACAAAGAATAATATCTTGTGGGTGTTAAGTGTTAAAACTAGTGCTTTAACTTCAGAGTTCCTGGAACCACCCAAGTTCCCTTGTGGAGAATGGAAAGGCTTGGTTCCTTGCCCACCAGCTGTTACCAATTAATACTTGATTTAATGACATCCAGGAACATGTCAGTACTTCCAGACTAATGAGTGAAGGTTCCTGCTGATAGTATTCCTTCATAGAACTGTAAGCTGTAGTTCTCAGTTATATTACTGACATGAGGAAGAGATGCAGGTAGCTCTTTGGAGAGAGATAACTAGTAGTGGAATAAAGGATAAAATAAACTTAACCTTTTCCCATTGCTTTGCTTTTGTGTTTTTCCCTGTCCTTCAAGGGAAATGTTGTGACAAAGGCCAGTCTTTCTTGTCTGAAGCACCTGAGTCTCCAGCTACATCATCGTACAGGAACATCATTCAGAGTAAGTCTGAAAATCACTGTGTTGAATGCATCCTCCCAGCTCTGAGCACTTCTGCAATAAATATCTATATTAAGCAGAATTATGTTGGTTTGCCCCGAATAATAACAACAATAGACATGTGTAGTAGTTATGAAAGTAACATGCAAATACTAATTCACATTTCTGGTCATCAGTTACAACAGGCTTCTCAAGCAGAAACAAAACTGTATTTAATAACTGGTTTCAACATTTGGCTTCAGTCATTAGCTTAGTTTTCAGAAAAGATGTGTGTGTACTTGCCCTCACAGAAACGTCCCAGGATTCTTGATCAGGCCTGTTGCATCTGAGTGTGACACAGCTGGCAAAGTATTGCCTCCACTTCTAACTGTAATGGCACAAAAAAACCATACAAAAGCTACCTGAAGAGCCGGGGATGGACAGTTTGAAAAAATACAATGGCTGGGAAATTCCTAAAGCCATTTTCACTGTGATAAAGGCCCAGCTAATGGTGTTTGTATCAACAGGGGACAGAGTAAAGCAGCAGTAATTAACTTGTGAAGTGCAACTGAAATATTATTTATATTACTTTATCCCTGTCTTTGCAGGAATTCGGGAGTACTGTGATCAACACCATCTTCCAGAAGAAAAGATTATTTAATCTAGGAATGGAATAAAAATGTAGTTCCTGTTTAATTATAGAAAAATAACTTACGCCTTGAAATAATAGAAGGAATGTATTCTTTTTGTATATTGCAAATAAATTCTTAATGCAAATGTTCTTGCCTTAGGTTCTTTCCATAGTTAAGACTCCTATAGTTCATAGGTGGTCTCAAACCTTGCTATAGCGCTGTAAAACTGAGTCATCAGCTGGGTTGCATAGGTGCAGTCTGCATCCTGTGTTGTCATATTAACAGACTAAACGTGCAGCTGGTGTTTGAAGACATGCGTGCATGAGATTTTATTTAGAAAATTGAATATAAAATGCACTTCTTTGGTATGGGGGTGTTGTATCTAATGTATCTGCTACACACACGGTAGCATGGGCTGTGACACCTGCTCGCTTGTGCTTTCACTGATAACACCATTTCAGTGGAAAAGATTGTATTTTGAGTGAGATTCAGTGCAGTAGTGTCTCTTCTTTTTACAATTGCCATCAGTTTTAAAGTAAAAACCTACTGGAATTTAAGTGGGTTAATTATAGTACAGTATTTTATTTATTACAGGTATTAGAATAGGGTTAACGGACTGTAACTACACGTAACTGGCTGCTCCACACAAGTACTCTGTGAACTTGCTGAGTGACTTTTGTTCTTCCTTCAACGTGACTGTAAGCCTGAACACTTAAAAATAAACATTTAGTATCTTTGAGAGGCCATTTGTGATTATAATTCCTCTCTGTTTTTATTGAGGAATCAAAGGTTTGAGAAACCAGCATTGTGTTCCAGGGGGAAAGGCAGTTTGGTTTTGTTTATTGTAGTTCTAAAATAAAACAAATGAGCATCATTTTCTGATTCCATGCTAATTCTCGGTTAAAATAATACAACAGTTTGGGGTTAGTTGACAGATGGGTCAGTGTGCTCTGTATGAACTGAAAGCATTGGGTTTGTGACTATATAAACCACTTCTTGATGAAACTTGTAAGTAGCAAAGGCTCTAAACCTTTCAGAATCTAAAGACTTGAACACAAATGACAAAATCATGATTTCATGCAGGTATAATTCTAGAAGAGCTTTACTTAAGTACTTTCCAATGAAGAGCAGTTTTCACAAATGAGTGTTTTTACTATTCATCCTCCTTGTTCTTCCTTATTTGATTATCTAGTGCCTGTCTTCCCATGTTCCTCAGTGCGGTCTCCTGACATTCTCCTTGTCTGTCCTGTAGGATGAACACAGGACATGAGTGTGTCAGCACCCCTAGTATGTAGGAATCTTATATAAGAATTAGGGAAGAGCCAGGTGGAAGCCTGAGGGTTGAAGATGGGTCCCCCAGCTGTACCTAACCAGAGGCACTATGAGACCTCAGGAGGCACCTCTCCAAAGGCTTAACTTGGAGGACATTCTTCATGGGGTTTGGAAACAGCTCAGCTGGGAAGCTTCAGCAGGCCTCCAAACACAGAGCAGAGTGAAATGGAGTAAGGCTTAGTGGAGAGTCAGGACATCCCTGCCAGGGTTATTGCAGAAGCTAAGACCTGGGAAGAGCCAAACGCAACAGTGTGGGGCAGGTTGGTATGTGGTACTTCATTGGTTGTAGCCGACAGACCAACTTGGTACTTACTCTTGGGAACATCTGCTGTGACAAAAAACCTTGAGGTTACTCTGCTGATGCTTTTTTGTCCCCCTAATTTGCAGTGGATGTAGCCATATAAATTAGCAGTCTGAAGGGAGATCCCAGCTATCACAAGAGCCTGTGGACAAACAAAAGTTGAGTTGGGATAAATATACCACTATATACAGACTGTATGTGTAGAATATATGTATACAGGTCTGTACATGTGTGTGCATACGATTTAAATATACAAAAATGCTACAAGAGGGAGACAGTCCTTCCAATAATGAAGTATCTTCAAACAGATCCAATTGTATCAAACACAATAGTTCCTTTCTACAAAACGTCTCTTTATCAAAACACTGATACATATTTATTTTGTCACTCTGTGTCTTGAAAGATTTCATTACTTTCCTAAAAGCACTTAATCAAAAAGCACCTATTGAACAGATTCCATAATCATTCCACTTTTGTTAAGCCTGATTTGTATCTGCAAGTTTCACATCCATATACATAGCAAACCTGCAGTCTTGTTTAGCTGACAAATGCCCTATTAAATACAAATAAGATCCTGTAACTTGCAGATTTCCAAAGAGGATCGATAGATAGGAATCAATATTTAGCATTATCAGGCAGTGAAAATAATCTGATCCTTTTGTGGTATTGTAGGTTTAGCAGCAGGCAGAATCCATTTGATTGATTGACTAATGAAATAACTTGCTGAAGTTGTTTTTCTTAGCCTCAGCAACAGTTTCCTTGGAGCTATCATATTTTCATCTGTGTAACTTGCCTTTTGCAACCACCTGAACAACCTGCATCCAGTGCCAGTTAGGGTTCCACCTCCAACCAGCTCCTAATTTAGCAAACAAACTGGTCCTAAAGATAAAGCTGGAGTGGTGGAGAAAGACTGCAGTTTAATTCAACTATTGCTTGTTAGGCTGTGCCATTCAGGGCAGCAGAAAGTGGTTAATGATTTGTAATTGATTCATACACATAGCTAAATTTCCTGTTTTATTTAATAAAATGTAATCTGTTACTGGTTATGTAGCTGCACATCTCCAAGACGCTTTTTATTTTTTCAAACTGAATTAAGAACTGTACTGAGGAGCAAGGCTAGGAACTTGACAAAATGAGTTCTATGGGGATTATCCAGGCAGTATGAAGATTTACCCAGGGAAAATATGAAGATTTCATAGAAAAAGATATCTTAATGCAGTTTATGGAGCAAATTTCCTTTTGTAGTTAGAAAAATACATCATGTACTTTTTTTTTTTTTCTTTTTGGTAGGCTAGGTTGCTTATAAATACAGGAATTATAAAATACATGCCGACAGCTCAATTTATCAAGGTTTTAAGCACTATGGTATTGATTCTTTCAAAGAGGAATGGTATCAGAGACTTATTTTTAAGAGCAAGTAACATTCCAGTCCCTAGGATATTTAAAAACCTGAACACCAGCATCACTGGTTTGCTTTTTGTCCTATCCTATTCACTTTCTTTGAATTAAGTTGGGGAAAGTAGGTTGCTACACTACAAGAAGTCCACAATTTCACCAGCCACTTCAGGTTCTCAAGTTAGATGAAAGAGCTGACATCTAACAACCTGGCAGAAGTGGGGCTAAAAATTAATCTGTTCCAGAGTGCAGGGCTTGACTGCAGAAAACTTCTTGTGATGGCACGAAGCTGTTGTTACTAGAATTTTTGTACTGTTACAAGTTCTGTACTGGTTCAAAGACTCTTGTAAAACTAACAGATCTGGGCTGTTCTCTCTATCAACACTTCCTGTCAGCCACAGGTCTGTCAGTACCCCCAGACTTACCAGCCATTTCAGCTTCAAGGAGAACAACGTGCTAAAGAAAAACATGGTCCAAATAACTGGACAGATAATGAGACCAAGCCAAAAGATTCGTGCTTCAGCTTCAGTTGAGGCAGCTATTGAAGGTGCCTACAAGAAAAATTTTTGAAACCACTAGTCACAAAGACAAAAGCCACAATAAATAACAAATCAGTAGAGGAGGAGAAATAGGTAAGATTACATCTTTACCTAAATTTCACTTACTATATGCATAGAAGGAAGACTGAATAAACAGAGAAGTAGCTAATGCCAGGTTTTCTGCCTGCTGCCCTACCATATGTTGACAGTTTTTTCTTGTCAAAATGTTCTGGTCTTTGTTCACATTTGAATGAGAGAATTATTCCTTTTTTCACTGATAGCTCCCACTAACACTATGGATCAGTAGTAGTATTTTAAGGTCAAGCTCTGTTACACTGACAATTCGTTTTTAAACTTCAGAAATACTAAGTTAACTGTGATGTTAACTCTAGGCCTTAGAGAAGTGTGAAACAGAAGATAGTGGTACAAGCAGAAGAACTTCAGTGCGAGTACTTCACTGTCTGTAGTGTAAATTCATGACAGGTGCCCTGTTCACAAATCAAAAGCATGAGGGGGAAGGGCAGAAAGTCTGCAAAAAAACCTCAAAGCAGACTGTAAAAAGCCATGGTTGCAGGTATTTTCAGGTCAACACAGCTCCTGTCTTTATATACACTGAAAGGCTCATTGTTAACTCCTATTACCTAAAAGATACTAAAGAAATTGTACAGAAGATTCTGATCTTTTCTAGAAAACCAGAATTCAAAATCTCACTCCAAACCTCAGACCACTCCACCACCACTTGTGCCAGCTTCTGAAATACAACTGGATAAGAAAACCCTGGGGACTCTTCCACTCTGAAAACCAAAAAGCTTTTTAGCTCATTTTCAGTATCTTGAATTCTCATGTAAAAATAAGATTCATCCATCCATCTTGAGGCAGACAGTGGCATCCAACTTGTAAATAAGATTAAGTTACTCTATCTCACCTAAGAAAACCCCGAAAGACACAATAATTACAAGGTGTCTTTAATTTTCTCATGTACTCTCCTAACCAGTGATGTTGCAGAGGTCCAGAGAATAATGTTCTATGACTTCATAGTTACAGAAGAAGACAGATGTTCTGAATCAGTAAAACCGTTTAATCACCTGTGTCCCAAACTATCGACAAATTACCCGACAGGACACTGCGCTAGCCCTGACTATTTAGGAGGAAAAAAAGTCAGTACACCTGAGGACTCTGCACCTAAAAGACCTAATTAACTTGATTGAGCAAGATTACAAAAGGCTGCAATCATCCTAAAAGAAAGGAGAGAGGAACTGTGGTAGTTGGAATGTAAGTTTAAGAATTGCTTTTCTTAGAAGAAAATCTAAATCTCAGCAGAAGGTAGGATTTCAAGAGTGAGCCCCTGTTGTGCCAACAGCACCCCAGGAATTAGCTGCCTACTGTTGCTGGGACCAGTGCTGTTTAATATTTTCATCAACGACCTGGATGAGGGAACTGAATGTACCCTCAGCAAGTTTGCTGATGATACTAAACTGGGAGGAGTGGCTGACACACCAGAGGGCTGTGTTGCCATTCAGCGAGACCTGGACAGGCTGGAGAGTTGGGCGGAGAGGAACTTGATGAAATTCAACAAGGGCAAGTGTAGAGTCTTGCATCTGGGGAAGAACAACCCCATGTACCAGTACAGGTTGGGAGCTGACCTGCTGGACAGTAGTGAAGGGGAAAGGGACCTGGGGGTCCTGGTGGATAGGAGGATGACCATGAGCCAGCAATGTGCCCTTGTGGCCAAGAAGGCCAATGGCATCCTAGGGTGCATTAGAAAGGGTGTGGTTAGTAGGTCAAGAGAGGTTCTTCTGCCCCTCTACTCTGCCTTGGTGAGGCCGCATCTGGAATATTGTGCCCAGTTCTGGGCCCCACAGTTCAAGAAGGACAGGGAATTGCTTGAAAGAGTCCAGCGCAGAGCCACAAAGATGATTAAGGGAATGGAACATCTCCCTTATGAGGAGAGGCTGAGGGAGCTGGGTCTCTTTAGCTTGGAGAAGAGGAGACTGAGGGGTGACCTCATCAATGTTTACAAATATGTAACGGGTGAGTGTCAGGATGATGGAGCTAGGTTTTTTTCAGTGATGTCCAGTGACAGGACAAGGGGCAATGGGTGTAAACTGGGGCATAGGAGGTTCCATGTGAACATCAGGAAAAATTTCTTTACTGTGAGAGTGACAGAGCACTGGAACAGGTTGCCCAGGGGGGGTGTGGAGTCTCCTACATTGGAGATATTCAAGGCTGGCCTGGACAAGTTCCTGTGTGATGTACTCTAGGTTACCCTGCTCTTGCAGGAGGGTTGGACTAGATGATCTTTTGAGGTCCCTTCCAACGCTTAGGATTCTGTGATTCTGTGATTTGGAATATTTCTAAGCAAATATAACTGTAAAGCAAGAGAACTTAAAGTTGCTAGAGGACTAGCAAAGAAGGTGGGGAATGCCTGATTCTGAAAATTAAGAGAATTGCACGTAGTCCAGGACCTTGCCAAGACAATGTATTTCCTACCGATGAGCCATGACAAAAATACAATCCACTCTAATGATATGTCCCTTCTGGGTGCTGTTTTTATGTTAATCAAGCTACCATTTGCCAGAAGGCTTTAGCTCATACAGCTGAGTCAACTTTGTACTTCTAGGCTAGAACTAACAAACTGTAGGAGGTGAATTAGGCTGGCTTATCTCAGTAATTTTGAGGTCAGGTCTTTTTATGGATGCTGTTGCTTTTAACTGCTAAGAAAGCTCTTGACTTGACAGAACTAAGGAACTCTGAAGGTGCTCTACTTTCTTTGCTTCCATGCAGGCTAGCCTATGTTTTGGGGTTTCAGTTGCAGTATGTTGACATCTCCACACCCTCAAAGCAGCTGTGGGTTGCAGTTTTGCTCAGCCACAGGGCTACTAGAGGGCACTCCAGGCCTGCACACGGAGAGTACCCACTCCACACTGTGCTGCTACACAGGCTCTGTGCGCAGCTGGACTGGCTGCAAAGAATTCTCCTAGTGAGTAGCACCTGAAGTGGTGTTCTGCCAGGCTCTTGCTGGAATGGGGTGGTGGGGAGCACGACTGCAAGTGAAAGCAAAAGCCTGCAGTCTTTGACTGTGACAGCAATGCCACGCCATTTCAGAGTGTCTTTGCTCAGGGTGTTTGGGAGAGCACTGGCAGTATCAGAGTCCTCTGTGATTCAGGTTCTATTCCCCAGTATATTCCATGAGCATGAATAAAATATTAATTTTACCAACCTGGATACAAACTATTCAGCATTGCTTTCAACATAGATCTTTCCTAAAGAGGCTTCTGCATTGGGATTGACTATGGGAAGATATGTTTATTACAAGATATTCTCACTGGAAAACAGAACTACCAAAGCCATTTCATACCAGTAATACCATGCTATGAATTTTATTCTGCTGATGCAAATGGTGACTATGTTGTGAGTCTGGTTCTGTCCTAAATGTTTCCAGGATGTGACAATCCAGGGGCTTGCAACTGAATACTTACAGTATCTTCTATAGAGGCTGGATAAACATAACTATTACAAAGGTGCTCCTTGGTTACTTTATTTGACTTGGTATCGGCTTTACAAGCTTTCCTATGGATTCTGTTTGTCCTGTGCCTACTTTTGTTAGCAGACTTACCCTTTTGGCTTCAAACACCCAGTGGCTTTTTCCATCTTCATCAATCTGGTTCCACCAACGCAAACCAACCAAAAGTCTTCCTGTCACATTCTAGTGACAGAAACAATTATTTACATTAATCAGAAGCATAACTCACTTTTCAGACTAACAAAAAAGAAAGGCATGTCTGAAAATCATGTTATTTTGGAGCTAATTTTAGTATTTTATAAAAGCTGTGTCAGCTTGACCACAACAGTCAGTAAGGGTGGATGAGTTCCCACAGATTTAGAGGCCTACTCTTTTCCAACAAGATAATTAGTACAATAATACTGATTTAGGTAAGAAATTATAGGGTGTGTCTTTTCTAAGTCAGTTAGTTGGAGAAACCCTCAGTAAACAAATTTTATCAGTGGGAGAGGAGAACTGCAAACAAAACCACAGTGGAAAAATGGATGATTAAGCTGTGAGGAATCAAGCAAACAAATTAAGAAAATATTTCTGCACCTGGTTGAATACTAGGTTTCAGTATATTGAATATACATCAATGCTTCAGTCCCATACAACTTGTTCACGTGTCCCTCAGAGGTTGGTGTTGGGACTGAATCTGTTCCACACCTCTGTCAGTGACATGGGCAGTGGAATTGAGTGTGCCCTCAGTAAGTTTACCAATGACACCAAGCTGTGTGGTTTGGTTGGCAGCTGGAGGATAGGGATAGGATCCAGAGGGACCTTGACACGCTTGTGAAGTGGCCAATGCCAACCTCATGGAGTTCAACCAAGCCAAGTGCAAAGTCCTGCACCTGGGTCAGGGCAATCCCAGCCACAGCTACAGGTTGGGCAGAGAAAAGACTCAGAGCAGCCCTGCAGAGAAGGACTTGGGGGTGTTGGTTGATGAGAAAATGAACATGAACTGGCTTCAGTGTTCACTTGCAGCCCAGAAAGCCAACCGTATCCTGGGCTGCATCAAAAGGAGTGTGACCAGCAGGTCGAAGGAGGTGATCCTGCCCCTCTACTCTGCTCTCGTGAGACCTCATCTGGAGTATTGTGTGCAGTTCTGGTGTCCTTAACATAAGAAGGACATGGAGCTGTTGGAGCAAGCCCAGAGGAGGCCACGAGGATGATCAAGGGGCTGGAGCATCTCCTGTATGAAGACAGGCTGAGGAAGTTGGGGCTGTTCAGCCTGGAGAAGAGAAGGCTGCATGAGGACCTCATAGCAGCCTTCCAGTATCTGAAGGGGGCTACAAGGATGCTGGAGAGGGACTCTTCATTAGAAACTGTAGTGACAGAACAAGGAGTAATGGGTTTAAATTTAAACAGGGGAAGTTTAGATTGGATATAAGGAAGTTCTTTACTGTGAGGGCAGTGAGGCACTGGAACAGGCCCCCCAAAGAAGTGGTAAATTCTCTGTCCCTGTCAGTGTCCAAGGCGATTGGACAGAGCCTTGGGTAACATGGTCTAGGGTGAGGCGTCCCTGTCCACGGCAGGGAGGTTGGAACTGGATGATCTTAAAGTCTTTTCCAACCCAAACCATTCTATGATTCTATGTGGAGCCCCTGGGATTCTGGGCTGGCCTGAGCTACCTGCCTGCATGTGCTTAGGGCACCGATGCCATAGCTAGACTCCCAGGATTCTTCTGCAGTTCCTGTATGCTGCATCTGGGCACAGTATTGTGACTTTGGACATCCTTTGGCATCCAGTACTGAAAACCACTACTACTTTATTTCTGTAATTTTTTAGGGGGGAAAGCATACAAACATCTCTACTGCAAGCAAGGTGATTTTCTCACCATATTAGTAGCTCCCATGAGGCATTGACAACATGGTGATACATACTAGCCAAGATATGTAAATGTCTTAATGAAAATGGACTAGACATTTAATGAATTAACAGATCACAATATCTTTGTCACTTCTGCCAGTATATGCTTTTCCTTTTTTGCTTTATTTAATAGTACACAGAATCCTTCAAAGGTAGTTACTATTCAGGGACATCTTACCTTAACTGACCAAAAGTCAAAGGATAGAAGGAGGAGAATAGTGACAAAACAGGCAATGAAGCTGTTGCTGAACCAGTCACACAACAAGTAGGTGACAATGGCACTCACTCGGAAAAACAGGTGGAAAAAGGTAGCCAGCGGGTGTCTAGAAAAAAAACCCAAACACAGAGCACTTAGGAAGTTAAGGGACAAGAAGGAATGTTACAGTATTTGCTAACAATGTAGTATAACACAACAATTTCTAGTTGTGGTTCTTTTTCTGTAGTAGTATTTTGGTGCATAGTTGGTATTATTTCATATGTTAATATCTATCTTCATTATCAAAGCAATAGTATTTCCAATAGGCAGCCTTCAATCTAAAGCTAGAAGACGGAATGTGTTGTTCAAGTCAAAACTTTCTCAAAGACAGAGCAAAATAGTCTTTCACCAGTTTCTTTAGTAATGCATGAAGGAATTTAGTGATTATGTTCAACATTGTACCCTAAAATCCTCATTGCTTCATTAAATAAATCAGAATTGCAAACCACAGAAGAATTAAAATGTATCTTATGCCTTTCAGAACTGTTTTGAAAACAAGAACAGGAATTCCGAAAAAAAAAAAAAAGCTGCTGGTTATAAGGCAAAATTAATCATATGTAATGTCTGAAACCAAACGCTTCCTTATACAGCGGGAGTACAAGCTGGGAACCTAACAGTTCCTATTAATGAATGTTCATTAATTTCACTAGATACCTGTGCTTTGCTCATGAAACAAAATTTCATCTGTAACAAAATAAAGGGGAATTTAAGTGGAAGCAGCAGATCTATAGCATGGAATATTGGCCTGTACAATGAGACAGGGGGGTTGCAGAATGCTGTAATGAGCACAGGACAATTTTCAGGGTAATATGCCAAGTGCAAAACTTTATCCTGTACAGCTGAGTTTGTGTTAGTTTGAAGTGACAATTAGCTAGAGGCTGTTGCATTTAAGTAACTTCTTCCCTCGAAACTGCGTGACTAAAACTTGTTTTCTAAATAGGATTTATTTTTAAAGTCAGTGATTCTCTCATCTAGCTCCTCTACCTCTATAAACAATGACAGTAGTATGGTCTATTCAACTATTAAATTTGTTCTTCTATTATTGTGTATAATAAAATGATACATATATACGCAATTATAATTACTTATTACAATAGATAAGAATGAGAAATAAGTTATAATAGTTATATATTTATATCTAGATTGTAATATTATTATTCTATAGCTGTTTAACTGTCCTAGTAATCATCTTTTCTTTCACGGCAATACTGTGCTTGTAGTACTGCACACGCATCACTAGAGAAGCAAACATGAGGCCCAGCTGTAGTTTATATTTACTCTTGATCACGTCGATGCTAACCTCTAACTTGCCAAAAACTTTTTCTGACTTAAAGCTGCTTGGAGATCTCATAGCAGCCTTCCAGTATCTGAAGAGGGCCTATAGGGATGCTGGGGAGGGACTCTTCATTAGGGACTGTAGTGATAGGACAAGGGGTAACAGGTTAAAACTTAAACAGGGGAAGTTTAGATTGGATATAAGGAGGAAACTCTTTCCTGTTAGGGTGGTGAGGTACTGGAATAGGTTGCCCAGGGAAGTTGTGAATGCTCCATCCCTGGCAGTGTTCAAGACCAGGCTGGATGAGGCCTTGGGTGATATTGTTTAGTGTGAGGTGTCCCTGCCCATGGCAGGGGGGTTGGAACTAGATGATCTTAAGGTCCTTTTCAACCTTAACTATTCTATGACTCTATGATTCTATGTGGAATTTTAAATAAAAGGAGCTTTTTCTGCCATAAGCGGGTAGGCGGGTGAGTGGAGCAGAGGGAATATTTTAACTGTCAAAACCAGACTGTCTTGCTACTTCAGGTCTTGATCTCAATCAAGAAGATATGAGAGTTCACTGAGTCAGTGGTATCATGTGTCAATACAAGCTATTCAGAGACCACAGCTCTAAAGCTTAGCAGGGTGGACTGAGCTTTTATAACTATATCAGTGCTTCAGATGTGAAAGTAACTTTAGAGTAGTGCTTCATTTTGAAAGTCAGATGATGAATGACTGATTGGATGCTAAATCAATACCAATCCAATATCAGACTTAGAAGAGTGTTTACTAAAAATAAGCAATACATGAGCAAAAGGCTCACATTTCTTACAGCACTAAACTCTTTATTGAGACTACAGAGTATCAGTCCTCTTGCAAGCATATGGCTAGCCAAGCCACAGACAGACTTGCAGGTTCTTGTCCTAGGGAAATAATATGGAGATACATTAAAACTTGCATCTCATCCTTTGGACAACTCGCTTGATCTCAGAAAATGTCCATATATTTACACTTAAAAAAAAAAAATCCTGCAACTAACAGAATCCAGTAAATAAACTGTTCACTTCCTCAGTTAACAGAACAAATGTTTTCCTAATTCACAGCCATCAGATGAAACTTATAGCTCCTATCATACATGAACAGAATTTTTGATAAGGAGATAATCCCAGATAGATAAAATTGCCTTTAAAACCTGAAGCTAAACCATCTGCATCCTTTTTGAAAGAATAAGTTTTATAGCTTTTCTTATGCATTTATATATAATTTAATTGTACTTTATAAATGTTTTTAAAAGCCAATTTCCAGAAGTATGATGAATTAAGAAATCATTGTATAAACTAACGTGATTTCTTGTACTAATGGAAGTCAGTATAGGCTTTAAAACATGGCAACTTTGGTTTTTTGCCCTCAAATCCAGTAATGAATAAAGGTAGCTAAAATTCTGCACTGGCTCTGTTTGACATATTCACTCCTGGAAGCACAGAAACCCACTTACTTGGACTTCTAGTAATCCTGCTGCATTTAAATCCATGTAGTGTAGACCTGGAGTCCTGAGGCTAAACAATTACCATTTATCTTGTTACAGTAAACTCCAATCAGTTGGCAAGCATGATGCCTATCAGGATAGGAATGAGCTGTTATGAATTTAGTTGCATCCTATATTAAGGAATCAAATTGGATTAACCCTAATGTATACCCCTGAACCACAGGAGAATCATTCCCAGTACCTGCTCAGAAGTGCACAGGCAGCACTATATGCTTTTCATACCTCTGTCTGGTACTTGAGATATATCTAGGCAAATTTTGAACAAACAGGTTCTCTTGCTTGATCATGTTGTGTTACCTGAGTGATCTGAAAAAGAAGCGATCATATGCTCGTAACTGTTCCAGATCAAATGTTGTGGTACTGAAATGAACTGCAAAGATGGTGTAAGTTAGCTTTTTCCTAATCTTCTTATGAAAGTAGCCACTAACTAAATCACTAGCCACACATCTTTTGCTTTTACTGAACACTTGCATATACCTTGGAGAATCACAAAAGCACAACTTGTCATGCAAATTCTAACAGAGTTCAAGATGGATGAAATTGGGATAAAGTTAAAGACAAATGATTGTAACATGTTGTTATGCCCTCTAATAGGACAATGAAATTCAACAGCACATTGGGTGTGTTCCAGACTTGTTAGCACAAGATTCTTCAGAAACTTAAAAACAAACTTCTGTGTGAACAATGTAAGGAGTTTCATTTCTGTATTCTATAGCAGAAGGTTTTTCAGTATGAGAGCATCTTTTAGTACTGTCACAATGAGGGTAAGAAAGAAGAGCAGTCTCTAGTGAAATAAGTACCTACACAAAGCGGATCAATGAATACTGTGGTTTACTGATACTTTGCCTGTATACATTATTGGGTAGAGTGAACCAGTAGGAATGGATCTCCAGAGTAAAGTAACTCATGCTGTAGAGCTCCTACAAACATTTTGGGGTGCTTTCACTTCACGCTAACTCCTGTCTGGTCGCACAGACTGTATCTGTGGCTTGCACACTCAAGATACTCCTAAACTGTATTTCCCAGTTTAGTCCAGTCCTTTCGGCTGTCTTCTCCAAAGCTGCACCAAAATATAATCCTTTGTTTAAAAACTGCTGCTGCTAAAGCACAGAAACAAAGCAATTCCAGGAATGATAATCTTCTGTTGTGGCTGACTCCTCATGTAGTTTCAAAGTCCAATGCACTGGAAGGGCAGAAATGCCTCACCAGGCTCTAGTAAAACAGAGCAACTGTGTTGTAAAGCTACATGATTGCTTATTTGTGCATGTCAGATAACATTTATGTTAGGCTTAACATCTCTTATTTTTCCTTGTTTACACTGACAAGAAATATTAACATTGTCATGGTCCAGAGTAAACTGGGGATGGTGGAAGGGCAGAAAGCAATATAAGTCAAAGCTGATTATATACATTGACTAGTGCATGCATATGTATAATTTCTTTTGACATAAAACTTTCCCCTTTACAGTCTTTGACTGGAGACTCTTCAAAAGCCAGTGATGGAACAGCAGCTCTGTGGGACCTTGGTGTGGACAGAGCTGCAGAGGGACACCTCTGGTAACCTAAGGGAAGACTGCTTTACCCTGACGGATCAAGGGGTTGGGTTTTCTCAGGTAACAGCTGCAAGGGTAAATTACATTACAACCCACATAATATCACATCTCATGATAGGAGAACATGACAGTTTTGAATAACTTGATGTTTCCCTTCAGCTGGGTGTGCAATACAATGCCAGAGCACTCTGCTGCACAAATTGTTTTGCTGGAGATGAATTCTCTTGAATTCTCTAGCTCTAACAAAAACACTGCTTGGTTGCTCGGGCTTTTTCCGTGATATGTCGGCCATGGGTGTGTGAAATCTCCATTTCCAGTGGCAGGACGATGCCTGGCGTGCAGAGCAACTGGACTCACTGCAGCAGCCTAGCACTGACCAGCCTCCCGGGCACACTTCTCAGCCTCCCCGGCCAGCCTGTTCCAGCGCTTGACCACCCTCTCTGTGAGAAATCGGAATTCAATGTTTAAAGGACGTTTCTGTGTTTCCATGCGCCAGTCCAGCCGCAGCAGCAGGGGATGCCCAGGCCCAGTCACCTCAGGCGGGCGCCGCGACGCTGAAGCCTCCGCGCCGGGCCCGCGCCCGCTCCCCGCGCCGTTACCTGATCTTGGCTTTGCGCAGCGCCAGCTCCTCCTCGCTCCCGAAGTCGAGGGACACATCTTCGGTGTCGTCCACCAGCGCCTGCGGCGGGGAGCCCGTCAGCAGGGAGGGACCGGGGGAGCCGCGCCGCCGCCCCCCCGCCCCGCACCGCCTGCCGGCGCCTCTACCTGCTTCATCTTTCGCCTCAGCCGCACCGGCCCCGCAGCGCCGTTGCCGGGCGCGGCGGTTGCCAGGGTCCGGGAGGTGTTTCAGGGAAAAGGGTCCGGGCTGCCGCCTGCCCGGGGACACCTGCGGAGGGGCCGGAGCTCCTCACCAGGGCCGCGCTCAGGGCTTGACTGCGCCTCGGAGCTGGGCTACCACAGTGGAAGTGGTGGCCGGCAGGCAGACCTGCCTCCTCCTCCGTTGTGTCCTTGCTGCTGAGGTGGCTCAAGCTGCCATCTTGCTCCCCATCATGGTTAGGCTCTCGGCGTTTGCCTTGACCGAGGCCAAGTGAGCTGTGTGGGCCCTGATGCGAGCCTGAGGAGCCAGAGCCCGAGAGGTAGCCAAAGGCTTTGGTTCAGCGCGCTAAGATGTCTGCCCGCTGATGAGGGCTTTGGGCTCCCCAGGAGCGCCAACCTGATAGGGCTTGTGCTGAAGGTACTCCCCAAAAGGACAAAGCAGAGAGAAAGGTGAATGCACATATACACATATGATGTTATAAATGTGGCTGAAATAAATTGACGAGAGCCAGACCAATGAATCAAATCGGTTTATTGAGCAAGCGACAAGCAAAACTGCGCTGGGTGTCCGGGGAGTCTCCACTCCACCAACGGCACGCACCCCACTTCCCCAAAGTTACTGGTTTTATACTCTTCTTCATCCGATATACGTGTCACCTCCTGGCGTCCTCTGTGTCTCTGTGACCTGCAGATAAGGGGTCTCATTCTGTCTCCCGGTGGGTGTGGGGAGGAAGGCTCCTTATCGCCTTCCCTATACATCGTTTACTTTAACAGATGCCCGTGGTCTATAAGCAACATGTCAAAGCACCGTAATTTTCCAGTAACTATTAAGCAAGCAAGTAACTCTAAGCAAGTAACTCCTAAGCAAGCAAGATTTGATTAACAAACAGGAATTTACTCATTACATATGATACATGCCTTGTTTGAGGACTTCCGTCTGCTGTCCTGTCAGTGATGGGCCAGACTGTATGTGCTGTCCCTTGCCTCACAGTGGGCCCTGTGCCCCTTTTGGGCTTTTGAGGGGTAGTCCAGTATGGGCACAATACGGGGGATGTACTACTAGTGTAACTTAGGTAACTGGGCTGTTTAGTTAAAGGTTTCTCCTGCGTTTATTTAAATAGCAGACGGGTTATGCAACAGAGTTAAGGAAGTAGGAATGTGAAATGAGACAACTGCACTAGACGACTAGATCAGGTTGCCCAGAACCACATCCAGCCTTAACTTGAATGTCTCCAGGGATGGTGCATCCACCATCTCTCTGGCCAACCTGTGCCAGTGTTTTACCACTCTCATTGTAAAGAATTTTTTCCTCATGTTCAGCTTGTAACCCCCCTCTTAGTTTAAAACCATCATCCCTTATCCTATTGCCCTGCTAAAATGTATCTCCCCATCTTTCTTATAGGCCACTTTTAAGAACTGAAAGGCTGCAAAAAGATCTCCCTGGAGTCTTCTCCAGGCTGAACAACCCCAACTCTCCCAGCTGTTCCTCACAGCAGAGGTGTTTCATCCCTCTGATCATTTGTGTGGCCTCCTCTGGACCCTCTCCAACAGCTCCGTGCCTTTCCTGTACTGAGGACTCCAGAGCTGAACACAGTGCTCCAGGTTGGGTCTCACCAGAGCAGAGGGGCAGAATTACATCCCTTGACCTTCTGGCCACGCTCCTTTGGATGCAGCTGAAGATACAGTTGGCCTTTTGGGTCTGCAAGCACAGACTAGTGGGTCATCTCCAATCTTTCATCCACTAGTACCCCAAGTCCTTCTCGTGGGTGCTCTCAATCCCTTCATCCCCCAGCCTGTAATAACTTCCTTGTCTTTTCTAAAACCTCTAACTAATCCAGAATGTATCTGTTGAGTAAGTACAGAAGTTACTAAGGTAAAATTGGAAAGCAGCTTTGTGCAAGACTTGTTACTAGAGCAAGACAATACCTAATGCATCAGAAAAACTGGTAGAGCTGTTCTTAGTAGGATCTGTAACTGTAGAGGAGGAAAGGTGCGTTTTAGGACTAATAATGTTAATATTGTGCTAGTCATATTTTGGCCTTGGTAGTGTTAAAACAGTACCTCACAGTGTATCAGTAGGTGCAGCAGACCTGCACTACAAAACTGAATAGGCAACTCAGTGGAATGGCCCACAGTAGCCTAGAACAGCCTAGAAGAGGAGGCTTTCACTCACAAAAAGGACATAACCTCTATGAGTTATCATGAGATACAATTAGTAAATAATTATATGCATACCTGAAGCTGACCTCTACTCCATTTACTGTATCAACATGCAGTTCTGCTTATGAGCAGCATCTTTACAGTAACTCAAATAGAACTGGCTTTCTGACTCAGAAGCAGTTCCTGGAACTGCACTGACACAAGCATTAAGCTGTGGAGGGAGGTCTTGCATTTTCTTCACTGACAGATTATCATCTCAGCTGTTGCATCAGCTCTCCTTTCACCTCTCAGCACAGTTCTGCCAGCAAGTCTGATGGTTTGAATTTAGTAATGTTGCTGTATTGTCTGAACTCTTGCATTTTTATTCTAAGGCACCAGAAAATAACTGTGTGCTATGTTCCTTTTCAGATAAAACAGTACTTGCTTCTGGAGGAGAGGTGACAATTAGCCTGCTACAGAATTAGGTATCTGAGTGCTTACTCTGGTGCTGCTACCTGATTTCATTAGAGGTAGAATGATATAACTAAAAAGAGAAGCAGAACCTGTGTTTTGTTTTTAAAATTTAAAACAGATAAATGTTTCTTTAATTTTCCCTCCTTCCAGTGTTTGTCTCCACTGTTTTGCTATAGGGATTATCTGTTTTCCTAAGAAACTCTTTTGGATAATCCCACAGAAGACTATCACTATACCATGCAGATGGTTTTAGTAACATTCTCTAAAAAGCAATGTCAAACTCTTGTGTGATTATTCAAGATATTGTATGGGTTATCATTTTCTTTGAGCAAATTAGGAGCGAGAAAGAATGCTTGTTTGCTAGAGGAATTGTTGGCCAAACCAAGAATTTCTTCATTTTGGGATTATTGGAAAAGCATTTTTCCTTGTTCTAAAATAAATACATCCAGGCATAACCTCATTAGAAGTTCCCAGTGTTTTCTAGGATTTTGCAGAACAAATTGTCCTATTTTCAACAGTTTTTCAGTATTTTGATTTGACTACAAATTATTTGAAGACTGGAAAGATTAGGAACATCCTAAAGGTGATGCAAGCCCTCAGTACCACTTCAACACATAAAATGTAAAGATAGTTACACTGAATTTGTGAATTGTGGTTTGGTTTTCAGGTTTGTACACAGGAAAACCTTGACCTTTAGGAAATACATTAAGATTTTATGTAATTGCTGACTGAAACACAGAGCATAAAATAGTTCAAAACTGATTCACTTGCTGCAGTGTGTTTATTACTTTACAGGCAGTTCTCTGCCCTGAATAGATAATGGCCTTTTTATCAAGGAGTACTATCAACGCCAAAGGCTTGATATGAATAATGAGCAATGTCTCACACTCGGTTTCAACAATAAGTAGAACCTCCTCCAAGTCGAATATGGTGTTTCATCCATGTGGTTAACATGAAGTCAGCTGATTTCCCTTTTTCTTTGGAGCATTGCCCAGAGTTGCACCGTCTATCAGTATCAAGCCCTGTAAGCTGCACAAGGACATTCTGAGTAGCTTGACAGTTCTTCCTCTGGGAAAGCAACTCAGTGTTTACAGTTTTCTGTTTTTCTGAATACTGGAAAAATACTGTTAATCCAAGAATAACTGTTACTGTGCATTAGATACATTTACATGTTTTGTTGGAGGTTCAGTAAAAACATTTACGTTTTGAGGAGATAGGCCAAATTAGAGAAGGTATTAAACAGATAACTTTCTTATAGTGTTGCCCTCTAATTAACTTGTAAAAGATTATTTTTTGCTTTGGCCCAGAGCTAATTTCTGTGGATTTTTTTGTCAGTACATACCTTAGTCGTAATTGTCAGCTCTGTATTATCAGGAGAGAAGCTGCAGCATTTACTTGACAGATCAGGATAACGTCTTTCAGTTGGATGTTATGTAGCAATACACTCTCAGTAGAGATCTAGTTCAAGAGGTTTGGGCTGTAAATATGAATGGAGATCTTTTATTAAAAAAAAAAAAAAAAAAAGAAAAGCTGTATTGGGCCTCCGTTCAATTATGTTTAAAGAGATTAAAAATATTTTTTTAGTATCTTGAGAGGGGTATAATACCCATTATTGCACAGTAACTGATTTTGCTTCTAAAAAGTACAGTAGTACCTGTATTCCTTTCAGATAGGAAAAAAAGAAAACAAGAAAAGATTACATGTTTTTATTAAATGGAATCCTCTGTATTCACTGTTTGTGTTTAGGCCTCATTTAACTGGTGCTGTAGAATTTCTAGTGTGGTTACCTGGGAGACAAAATGCTTTGCAATTATTACTGAGTTTACTTCAGTATCTTTTTCTGTTGAGGCTGTACAGTGGTCACCTAGAAACAGCCAAAACAAAGGCAGACCAAAGCAAAGTTATCAGCTCTCTTCCAATTTTGGGTACATTGCTTCCCAACCTTTGGATGTGAACTTCTTGATGTGTTTAGCTCTCTGTATATATCTTCATACGTTCAAAGCTTCAGCCCTTCTCAGCTGCAGTTCTTGTTACTAGTTAGCTCTGCAGATCATCTCTTATTTCTCATTTGGGGAACTCCAGAAATAAGGATTTTGGATGCTGTTTGGACACCTGTCAAAAGTTTGGTTTAAGTGGCTCTGTAGATCCACTGCAGTAAGGGATCTAAGTAAGGAGAGGACCCCTTTCCTAGAGTGGCACCAGAGTCCACTCTAGAGTCCTAGAGTCTTCACCAGAAGAGGTGCTTGGGGTTCCTTCCTTCCTTTGCTGGATGAATTTAAAGGCCTGTACATCCTCACACAAGTATCCAGTACCTTTCCTGACTTAACCTGGTCTTCTATAGGCTT